ATGACGTCAGGCGGGCAGGAAGGCGGCGGGACGATGGCGGCGGGGGACGCTGAGCGGGGCCGCCCCTCCCCTGCCCCACGCCTCGCTGCTCTCTGCTGTCTCCCGAGTGGGGAAAGGCTTACAGGACTCATCAGTCCCTCCTCAAAATTTTGAAACCGAAATAAATTTCTGCTGGCATTGACGTCTTTGCACTGACGCTGGGGGCTTTCTTTTCACAGCGGCTGTACTGCGGGTAAGAGGCGGCCAAGCGAACAGCATCACCTTCGTCCCAGCAGCAAGGAGGGTCCTGGAGGGGAAGGCGGTATTCATTCACACAGCAGGTAAAGCTCCCGGTAGCGCCCGCTTCTGCTGCGAGCACGAGGCGGACGCAGTGGCCTTGCTCCGTCACTTTCTGCTTGGCTTCTATCACGGTACTAAAGCTGAGTTTCTCCTTACTTTAGCACCTGTAATTCATTTTAACTAACCAGTGCTGGCCCATTATGCCTCAGTACATGAACGTCCACTGCTGTTCGACAGCAAACGGTGCCTGGATCATCAAAAAGCAATATTCTGGAGCTTGCACACACTTCAGTTAAGGGATCTTGTCTTGGAAAACCCCACTCACTGCTGAGTTAGTGCTCAAAAACACCCAAACACTAGAAGGAAGGATACTCCAGCAGAGCAATTGGGCCACCAGGCTCCAACACTGAGACAACACAAGAAGTCATCAACGCCAGAAAGTTCCTCCACCTCAGCATTCTTTGCTTTAAAACTAAGCCTTCATCCTCCTCCCAGTCCAGATGCATGCAGCCCTCTGCCCCTGGAGGCTGGAATTCATCCAAATTCACCCTTTGCAGTGCCTCGCTGACAAGATCAGACTTCTGCAATGACCAAAAGGCTCTCGGGCATACTGCTGTTTTTCAGCAACTCTGATCGAGGAACACACGTGTTTCTTTAGTGCCACACAACACAGGTTTGATAGGCTTTAGGAACTGCCACAAGAACATTGTGTTACCAAGAAAGGTTTTATTCTTTTTGCCAGTAGCTTTGTTAATTGCACAAAAAAATCTTTTTGTTTTGCCATTTAAACATTTTCACACATCCTATTCTGAATGACAAACGTTAATTAAAAACAAGGCAAAAAAATAAAAATTCACAACCTTAATTAACTATAGGATCTATCATTGAGGAAAAAAGAAACTGCTTTTCTTACAAGCTTTTCACAAGTGTCACATTTTCTCTTTAAAAAGGAGGGAGTCAAAAAAAAAAGCAAATTGCTAAAACAGAAATCCTCATAAAAAGGAACTTTACAGAATTGTCAACAATATTAAGACAACACTGACTAGCCAGTTTTATTAGAGCATCTCTCAATCCACAGATTCCCCCCCTTCCCTCCCCCAAATCTCAGGCCTAGGAACAGATTAAGATCTGTGTTCAGAGGCTACAGACATAAATACAAGAATCCAAGTGAGACTGACACGAGTCAATCTCAAACGGCATCTGAAACAGTCTGGTTTTGACCATTTCTATCCCTCCCCCTCACTTCACATCCACTTCAGAGCTCTCGGTCTCCTTCTGCTCCTCCCTGGCCTATCTGTGATGTGCAGCTGATCCTCCAGCCACTCTACATCCACCTACCTCGCCAAAAAGCTGCAGTCAGACTTTCCCAGGAGAAATTACGGTGTTTAACTAGTCTGCACCTGCCACTCCCACAAAAATAACTCTCTCTGTTTTGAAAACTATAGTATTTCTGGAAAACAAAACCTGCAGGGGTGAGTTGCCTAGGGAGTGGTTCTCCCTCTCACAAATATGGTTCTTTGAATTCACTATGAAATACACGTCACAGGACTTGAGAGCTCCTTTTGCATTCTCACTCTATCTAGAGGCACTACAAAGTAAAAAAAAGAGGGAGATCCTCCATTACCTTTGCTCAGACCCATTCACCTTCACTCTGGCCCAAGAGACCTCCGCTGGGACAGGTCAGGGATGCTGCTGCACTGGCTCAGCACCATTCCACTCTCAACTGGGCCTGAGACAGTACTTCCCTCTTCCAAAAGATTTCTTACACTGTAAAACCTGTGGTCTTATCTCCTGGCCCCAAAAACACAATTTCCTCCAGATGCCCTCAATACACAGTTTATGTAAGTGATTTCTTAACTGTGGCATGTTTAACGAAGGACTTCTGATGCTCATAGCCGAGTTCTTCTGGATGGGGGAAGCGCAAGTGTGTCAGAAGCAGGCTAATGGCTGGTTATCCTGGGTAGTAATATGTGCCTCTAATATGAATATCTACATGCAGGATGACAGCTGCACTGCCAAAGAAACATGTATGTTTAACTACTATTGTTCATATAGACCACTGACAAACGGGCAAAGTGATGTCTAACAGATCTATTACTAGATGCTGACCACAGGACATAATGCGTAAGACAATATTAGCCCACAAATAATAGTGATCACAGGAGGTGAAATATTCAACAAAGTAACATTTACAGCATTAGGCGTTAGATGTCATGATTTGTAATGAGTATCTGATACTTTCTCTGTTTCTAAATAAGGTGTCCCTGAACCACGGGCACGTGCTGCACAAAGCAAGATTGGTAAGAAATCCTAACCCACAGGAAGATTCCCCTACATAGCCGTTAAGTTCCTAGAAAAATAAGATGGTGGGAGGGGCAGACCTCACTGATTTAAAGGAACATGGTCTAATTTGAATTTGCTTTCTTTCCTTTCAGAATCCCAACCCAAGGGAGGAGATTGTGCCACTGAGAAGTGATTTTGGCCAGTAAAGTTTCTTACTGGCATTTTACTAACTCCCAAATCTAAAATGCAAAACCCTCCTAAAAGGCTAATACTGAGAACAATAAAAAAAAAAAAAAAAAAAAAAAAACAACAAACCACGCTCTGGGCATTTTTAGAGAGACAGGCATCCTTTGGACTCTGGGTTGCTCTGCTACCAACACTGAGAGCATCTCTGCTCTCTAGCCTTGGCATCTACAGTTCAAGTCCCACGTTTCTAGACTAAAGCTCAGCAGTGGTCTTAGCCTCCCATTTTATTTAGTCTTTCTAGAAGTTGGTATCTGGCCACAAGCAGAGTCACAGATACAGGGAAGTCTCACGCTGTGCTAGTGTTGTACCCAGAGTAGTAACACGAAGAACATGTATGGAAAAATCTGACATGTATAAAGATCACTAATCAGTACACAAAAATATCCCTGTGAGGTAGGTAATCATCACCCACCTTTGAAGATGGGCAAACAGGCTAAGAGATATAATGACCATGCAAAGGCCAGAGAGAGAGCGTGGAAAGGAGCTCAGGATTCTCAGTCTCTTGGCTCTACGATCATTCTTCTCGCCCCTTTCAGACTCATCACTCTGCTTGTGACACTGCTACAATCCAAGACACCTTTGTAATTATTGACTACAAGGGTAAAAAAAAAAAAAAAAAGGCAAGAAGTAAAGCAACATAAGCTAAGGCCAGGAGCAACCCCAAGGTTTGTTCCTTCCCCAAATAAAATATCTCTGGCCCAGTTTTACGCTGTATGTTTCTCTTACAGTTTTCTATGGAAACGTGTTGATCTCCAATGCTGTTTGTGGGATGGGCAGCTGTGATTAGCCTTTTAGGAGGCTCATTTACACTGGCATTCTCTCATTTTCAGTCAGGTTTGTGTTCCCTAAGCTATAGTTGTCTGTACAGGGGAAGACATGGACGCAATCTGTTCTTCTTAACAGTACAAGGAATTCCTCCATCAAGGTGCTGGGGAGGTGGAAGTTTAAAAAGAAACAGAATCAAGACAGTGTTGCATGCAACCCCATTACCTTCTGGAACTGCCATTCTCCTCCATGGGAGGTGCTTTGTTCTCTAACAGTGGCCGATTAACAGGAATGCTCCTCACCTTACTTGGGACCAAGGACTTTAGTGATATTCACAGCCAGATGGGATGTATGTCACCTGTCCCCTTGATGCAGAGAGTCCAACACACGCATTATTTCACAGCAAAGGAGAAAAGGGACCGTTAGAAACAGCATCTTGGACAAGCATACAAAGAGGAAAATAAAAGTAGCCAAGCAGCAGATTTCTGGTAGAGTTGCCTCAGAGCTTCTGAACAAGCCGCCACTGTTCTGTTCCATGACTGTCAGTGCATGGCATGGATTTTCCTAATTAGACTGCAACAATCCGAGCCCCCTCCTCCCCCCCTTCTGCCACCAGGGGAAGGCTCACCACAGCAGCTGCCTCCGTGGCAGATCTCAAAGTCTGTGTATAAAAGGAAATGGAGAGACAGAGATGGACTGGTCCAGAGTTAAAACCCAGTATCATAATATTAATCAATAATCATAGTATTAACAGTAAGAACGGTGCAGCCTAGTGGATGTAGGCCCTGTACACTGCAGACATGTCGTTGTCTGATTGGTCCAATGCTTTTGCTCGTTTATAGACCTAGAGAAGAGAAATTAGAAAAGGATCAGTGCCTGCTCTTGTGTGAAGCCTTTCCCCAGCAGAAAAATTACTTTGCTGACCACTGCAAAGCAGAGAACTGCCATAGTACGTCAAGTAATTAGAGCAGCACAGATCAGAACACACCAGGTCTTGTTGAGGCCATCTGTGTTTACTGATGTGACATTCTAAGGGCTTCTACAATCAAAACAAATCCAATTCTATCCTAGTCAAAATATATTTCAATCGCTGTTCCCTTGTCTTAGGGATGACGTAATTCTTAGATTTTTTTTTTTTTTTTTTTGTCTCTTGTTGACAAATGGCTCTATTGAAGAAATGCTGAGTAACACGTATCTGAACACTGAACAGCTCTTACCTCGTTGGCAGCAGCTGCCATGGGAGTTGGGTGGTTGACAGAATCGCCCAGTGCAATAGCTAATCTAAGATCCTTCTGTATGTATTTCAGGTAGAAATCAGGTTTAAAGTTTCCTTGCAAGATATCTGTCGAGAGGAATGCGTGCAAAAAATAAGCATGACAAAAGTAAATCAAGCCCACACTGCAAGGGCATGCAATTCAACACCAAACTTCCCTTTCCCATGCTGATCACCAGGAACACTGCTTTTAGCTCTTCTGTTTCTCTGTTCTCTATCTTCATCTGGCCACAGCAGATAATGTCACTATTGCCCACTGACAAAGTGAGCTAAGATTTCTAAGCAGCTTGCCCTCCATTTCACTTATTACCCTGCCCCAGTGTAATCCTCACTGTGAACTCAAGTCCTAAGCAGGCTGTAGACAATGCAGAGCTTGGGGTGGATTCTCAGAAGCCCTGGCTACGAAGGGGAAGGAATGGAACTCAGCTCTTCATTTCCAGAATGCTTAAAATACCCAGAATCCCAGGCTGATGAAGATGGGACGGTTATTTTCTCCCTTCCGCCATTATCTGAAATGCTGCTAGGTTGTGGCAAACGTCCTATAATAAAACAATGTAAGAGAACTTTACTTTGGCACTTCTGGTCCAGGAAGATGCTGGCAAGTTGTCCCTGATTGAGGATATCCAGAAGGGTCTGTTGGGACTGACCAGTCACTTGAGCCAAAGTCAGTCCTTCTGCTATCGTTGCCATGAAGCTGCCTTGGACCATGTTCACAATCAGCATCATCTTGGCAGCATTGCCTACTTCACCTGGGAGCGAGACATACCATTGGGCATTCCTCCAGAAGAGATACAGCAGCCTTGCTCCCCCATCCCACACAGTATTAACACTATTATACTCTTCATATCAAGCACTCTGGCAGCTCTCCCTTCCCCTGAAAGACTTCAGAAAACTTACCCATTTTCCAAGCGCTCAAAGGAAAGGAGAAGTCATAACAAAGTATGATTTTAAATAAAAAGCATCACGGATCCTCCAAAATGAGCCAGTATTTTAAAAAAAAAAAAAACAAAAAAACAACAAACCAAAAAAACCCAACAAAACCACCAAAAAAAACCCCAAAAAACCAAAACTTAGGCTGGATGCTCTGAAATTGGCCAAGCTCCAGAAGAGCAGGCCAATTTCCCATACTGCCCAAGGAGACAAGAAACAGATGACACACGTGCCTCAGATCCCTTGCTGGAATTCCCAGTTCTTGCACTGACTAAGAAACTGCTATCAGGCCCTTCGTGTTTCAATTACCTAGAAAAAAAGAGGTCTTCCCCATCGCTTGGAAACAGCTACTGCAGTCCTCATATAAACCCCTGTCGCCAGCTGCCAGGATCACAAGCATCCCGTCATTAGATAGCTGCTGATTTCCTGAGACCGGTGCTTCCAAAAAGCGACCACCCCGGGACACTATCACCTGCAAAAAGAGCATCTCTGGTTAGCTGTGCATGAACAGCACGCATTGATGCTGAGTAGGCAGCACAGCAAGAACATTGTTTAGGGC